TGGTATGACGCTGACAGTGATTCGTATTCGTGATCCGAAAAAATGGATTCGAATCCTTTTTTATTGCAAAAAGGATTCGGACATAGGGTCAGTGATTCGAATCACATCACGTTATTCGGATTCGTGATTCGAATAAATTTTTTGAAGATTCGTCCCAGCTCTGTTGAAAATTGATTTGAGAATATTATAACAAAAATTTCAGCCAACTCCGTTATTGTTTTGGATAATGCATCTTATCATAGTCGATTAAAGGAGTCATTACCTACAACAACATGGAAAAAAGAAGATATTTCAAAATTGTTTCATTCTAAAAATATTGTCTTAAATCCTTGAATGCAGAATTACGAGAAGGCCAGAGAAAAAGGTATTGAAATTCTTAGATTGACTCCTTACAGTCCTTACCACATACAGTTAAATCTCACAATTTTATTAAAAGGTTATGTTTCTATTATCTGATGTGCAAAATTTGTTTTTGAAGGCAGTTTAAGATGTAAATGGAGAACATTGAAGAAAATATATTGATCATGTTAAAAATGTAAAAAATTGATTTTGGAAAGTGGATATAAATGAAAAACTTAATAGACCCTATTAAAATAAACTTCAGAAAAGACAATGATACCAGTAGTTGAAGTGAAGACAGTGACTTTTAAAGATATTTCTTGATTTTTAATTTTTTTTTTTATCTTTGATTTTAGGTACTGAAGTGTTACTTCTAATGCCAAAAGATTAAACAAAGTTTAATCCCATTAACAACATATAATCCTTCTTGTTATTTATTGGTTAAATTAATTCGTTCAATGTTAAAGTGCAACAATTTTTTTAGGTTTATTTTTATATTTTGTAAATAGTATAACTTTCTTTTATTCAAAATTTAATCTATGAAGTGCGTATATACAAAATTTTATATATTATAGGAACCTATTTTGCAAACTACGCCTATGAAATGTGACTTTATATCCCCTCTTTTATTCAAACTATAGTCAATGCAGTCTGTGATACCCAACAAAACTGCACTTCTGATATTAATTAGGTAGGTAAATTTAATGTTGTTTGTTTTAATTTAGCACACGTTTTATTTATCTTAACTTAGATACATCTATTTATACACAATTATTTCTTATAAGTTAAATCTTGTCTTCTGTTTTTCAGTCACATAGTATTCCATTACTTTTTTTTGTCAAAATTGTCGATGCTATGTATATTTTCTCACATTTATCTTCTAATTCGTTAAAATACTTGCCTAATTGGTTAAAATACTTGTATTTATTATGTATTTTCTTGAAAAACGTCTTGTATATGAACTTTTTCAACTTTTGTCTGCCTGATTAAGTTTTTAATCGGGAGGCCTCCCCAAAGATTCAATATGGCATTTTTCAGTTAGCGAAAGCCTCGAAAAATTAATTTTTAATATTTTGTGCACTATTACTAAAAATGTTATAAAAAATGCATTTACTGAACCAACCGGATATAAAAATATACTAACAAACACGGAAACACGCTAAGATAATAAACACTCACTATCAACACAGGAGCAAGTCTGAAATTTTCGTAGTTCTCTTCCATGTAAAAATTCATATATACCTTTTTGAATATACGACGATTGGCACAAGAAGGCGTGTCTTTTTAGTGCCCTTCTTATATATAAGCAGTTTTTCAGCCTCTGTGAAATTCGCTGCAAATAAAACATACAAGTATAACTTATAAAAATAATAAAACTCAGATTTTTTATTAAGCTTTCTTTTATTCAAATAATGTTAAATAATAATCTATAATAAATCAACTTAAAACAGTTAATGTTGAGGTTCTGCTTCTTGCTCAATAATAATTAACAAAAAAAGTTGTTAAGTTTTTCTCGTATAGAAATAAAGTAACTATACAATAATTATTTACTAGTTTACTACTATTTCAAAGAGAAGACTATTTTTACAACTAAATCAAAATAGAGAAAACTGTTTATCATCTCTATTTATTTTCTATCTATCACTGGTTTGATATACTTTTTAATTAAGTTGGAAGTTAATTTCCAAAAATTCTACAAGAAAATTTGCACAGAATGTTGCCTAAACTACTGGAAACTCCTTACTGATGGCGCCATTGAATTACGACATACAAACTTTTTACTTGTTAAAGGCAGAGGTAGCTGGAACTAACCAGATTTTCACAAAATCTTAGGTTCCTGTCCTCGTTTTACAAAAAATCTTCAGTTGGATGTTTTTACAAAAATAAATGTTTAATATTCATTATGTCATGAATCCAACTTCGTTGACATATGATAAGCTGTCATACAACTAATGGCACTTATCAGGCCAGTTTGTTTTGTTGTAGTTGGAAGAGTTGACGAGTTTCGTTTTTAAATCAAATGGCTTTCAGAATTAGTACAGGAGTTTGTACAAAAATAAAATTGATTTAAATAATTATAAATCAATTGGAGCAGTGTATTCTTCTTTTTCTAACAATTAAGAGATAGGTTGGTTAGTCAACTTGTAAAAGTTGGAAATAAGATGAAAAATTACGTGCCCGGCTGGGGTACAAAGCTGCCGGATGTTGTATAAATATAAAAAAATATATATCTGTTTTGTATATAATATAAATTATTTTTTTTTTTACCAAAATATTAGAGATAGATTTTTTGTATCATAATAAAAAAGTCCTTTGTCCGAAAAAAAAAGTATTTCCAACTTTTAAAAATATGTTTTTCACTTTTCACGAAAAGTGGTGATTTACAATTTTACTGACCTGGGGTTTTTCACAGCCATTATTATTCATCACAAAAAGTCTGATTACTACCAACGCGGTTAACTCAGGATACCTTAGGAATGATTTCAGACATATGCGTAAAGAGATTGAGGAAATTTGAAGAAAAAAAAAAATAGTATTTTTATATCTTGGGAAACATTTCTTATCGTGCACTATTGTGATTTTTTTAATATAGAAAAGTTATTACACATAACATTTATACAGGGGTATCTGCAAGATTAATAAGTTCATAAAAATTACAATTTTTCTCTTAATCAACCGTTTCTTAACAATTTGACAACGTCGCACCTAGTGGTTTAGCAAAAAATATCAACAGAACTAATGATATCAGTATTAATTAATCGGTATCAAGAGTCTAGTATATGACAACCGGAACAAAATTGAAAACAAAAATATTTTAGAAACTCTTGTGTTCTTTCTAGGTTACAATTTATTGCAGAATATTGAAACTGAACTATATACTACGTATTGAATATAAAATAAAATACGTTGTTACCAAATAACGCCCTCTAGCTGTCACTGTGAAGCTGATACGTGTCTTTACCAACGAAAGTTATGGCGAATTCGGCAATCGAAATCACGTGACTTTAAATGGTGGACGATTGGCAAAACAACGGTTTTTGTTTTTGGGGCCTCAACTGCCAGGGCTACTCGGCCTTCTATGTTCTGTGTTGGCTTTGTTACTGTTTCCAGCGCCACTTGGATGTGAATAAAATTTCAACAAGGCAACGTTGCGAGGCCTTAATGCCGAGGGTTAACCCACTCTCTCCACGTTACAGATGGCAATGTTGTAAACTCAAGGACCTCATATGTCAATAGTGTTTTGTGGAAAGAAATACTAAAAGCAGTGTTGCCAACGGGAGCAGAATTCTCCGCTTTACGAAGATGTTTTGAGAAAGTTAGGAAAATTTATTCAAAAACAAAATTTAGTGGATATCAAATTTACTAGGGTATTTCTGCAAGTTTTAAAAGCAATGTTTCTAATGGGCGCAGAATTTTCTGCGTTCTGAAGAATTTTAGAGAATTTGGTGAAGAATATCAATTTTTTCAAAGAATTCAAAAATCGAAAAAGAAATCTTAAAAGAAATGTTAAAAGCAGTGTTGCCCATGGGCGCAGAATTTTTCGCTTTTTGAAGAATTTTTTTTTTTTAAGAATATCAATTTAAATTTCCTATGGTATTTCAGTAATTCATGTGTCTTTAACTAACACTGGACTTGAATTGCTTGAACACGGGCTAGACATCGACTGCTGAATTTTTCCTTTTATAACAAAAAAAAAAGGATTTAGATCTGTGGAGAATCGAAGCAAATCTTGTGGCAACATTGGTTAAAAGTTGGGTTAAATAGGTAAAATAATTATTTTAATATAAATTAAATTGAAAATTAAACCGATAATTTTTCATATCTAATTGTAATTAAAATATTATAAAAAGTAAGTTACTTTAATATACTAGTGATAAAACTTTGAAATTACCACCTGCGGTAGGATGAAACTGAAATGGGAGTTAAATTGCAAAATAAAGATTAGAAATATATGTCACCTTGGCCATGTCCTGGAGGGAATTATAAAAGGAAAAATCAAGGGGAGAAGAGGTATTCTGGCAAAGAAAATAGAGGAGAGTCGTGTGAGAAATATCAGAGCCACGCAAAAATACTGAACAGCAAATTGCAGAGGTAGGAGAGAAAATGAGGACCAACGGCAACCTTTATATGAATTTTCAAAACTTTTCTTGCTAATGAAAAATCACAATAGTTCTCATATAAAATACACATATAATGTTCACTACTTCTACATTAATCCTCTTTCAATGAAAATCTACAAAACATACTATAATTTTTTAATTCCTCTATACTAAATCGTCGTTTCAAAAGTTCACCCCAATTTTATTTATTATTGCATTTTCTTACATAGAATATTTAACTACAAATTTTCCTGTAGTATGAACTAGTTACAGGGTGACAATGAAAAAAATAAATACCCAATTTTCTACACAAAAACTTTTTCCGGTTTTTTTTTTATAAATAAAATAAAATCCGATTCTACAATAATCAATTATCCAAACTTCGAGATCGAGTTATCAAGAATAATCCCCCTAAAAAAGCATAAAAATTTAAATTATCCGTTTATATACCAAAAATATTATCAATCCTCACGGTATTTTTTTTAACTTCATTTATATTTCTCTGAACGACGGCCTTTAATTCTTATTTGCCACCCCGTACGATGACCTAGGTTAATAAGGCTACCGACAATACGCTTCCAGCATTTCCAAAAATAGTTTGTTCATGTGTACTAATTCCCTTTGATGGACGTCTGACCAAAATCTTCGGATTACGTGGTTGGCCTGCCTAAGAGCCGGCAGACAAAGAAGGAGCTGCTGAACGTGGCTCACCACAGCCATAGGTCTGAAAACATACAAAATTGTTAATATAAACGACTTTTTAAAAAAAGAAATGTGAAAAAAAATCCTCAAAATCATTAAAAATAATTACAACTCACCGTAGGATCCCGACTGTATCCGACAGGGATGCCAGAATTGAATCCCTGAACTTTTTGAGCGACTGATATTCCTCTATCTTAACATCGGAATTTGTGAGAACTAGGGCTTTTAATAAATAATATTCTTCTTTTAATATGGACAACTTATCTAACCTTTCCACTACATGGCAACACTGCAAAGAAAACAAAAAAGGCTTTACTTCACGCAACTGTATGCAATATAGTTAGAAAACTATCAAGAAATAATGTGCAAGAGCGGTCGCAGAGGAGGTTCCTGCCTTATGTCTGGGAGGGCGCAGAGTAAAAAAAGCTCTAGCAGTCAGAAAACCAACTCAACTAAACAATAGAAGTAGATAGAAAGACACTTGAGAATACTTTCGTTGATTTGTCCTCAGATCTGGGGAAATTTGTGGAGTAGATCTGACAAAACTGCACCACATCCTTCAATGGTAAGTACGACCGATAATTACCCAGAAACTTGACATTAACTGGCAACACCGTTTCTCTAGTAGACTGTCAAGATCGATAGATCCCATAGACAAATAACCAATAAGCGGAGAGCTCAAAGGTCAACATGGTAAGAAATTTAAAAAACGGGGCAACTCGGATAGTCGGACAGGGTTTGCAACTCAGCTAAAGTCGTTACCGACAAGGGTGAGGTTAGCTACGATTTTTATAAGCATTATTTGACATTAGATACTGACTGTCAACCTCTTAACAAAATAAAGCATGATGAGTGACCTTGATATGGACAAAAATTGACAGAATGGACCTTAAAGATTTCTCATGTTAATTTACATAAAGTTGGCGCCATATTTAAGACGTGTTTCAAAACACTCTGTATAAAATTAACCTGTTCTGTTGCAACTGTTCGTTAGCTTGGTATCTTATAAGTCTCTATTTTAAACAGTTTTGAAATCATTGTTAACCAACCTAAATTATATTTTATTTGGGGTCTATATCATTCTCTAATTTCACAAAAAAATTGCTTGGCAGCCCTGTAATATTTTCAAGAAAAGATGGGATGAAACAAGAATTTGCAGACTTGCCAGGGAACTTTTAAGTTATCCTGACAACACTACAGCAAACAAATACTTGACTTTGACTAGACAGAATCTGCGCCTGATCATAGGCATTCTGACTGGACCTTGCCAACTACGGAAGCATCTCCATATCATGGGACTGGCAGAATCCGCACATTGTAGAGGATGCGAACAAGAAGATGAGACCATCGAGCTTATCCTCTACGATTGTCAGACACTCTCATTTATTAGAAGATTTGTGTTCGGCGAGAATTGGCTAACACCGGCCGATATAAGAGACGTACATACGAGACGTTGTCAACTACATTAAATCTGTAGGCTGGCTCACGTTACAGATAGATACCCTGTAATATTTTTTAAAAATATTCTAGAGTTGAATACAATATTACCAGACCATTCTAAAACTGAAATAAAATACAGGGTGTTCAATTTAAAAATATACATTTTTATTTGCCAGGCAAAAACGTAACACCCTGTATATCAAAATTTTTTAAAATATGTCTTTTTCAAATCCATATAACTTTTATGTCTATAACACAAATTGAAGTATGGAGCAATTATGCACTAATGGGACACCCTGTATAGTAGAATTGTAATTGTTGAGTGTAAATTTATTTTATTTTTACCAATAATGCATAAGGTTAGTGTATTTATACATTCTGAATAATTTTATAAAGATTATGTATGTTTAACAATCTCATTTATGTTTTTTTTTCGTCTCTATGTGGCCATACCAATGTTCTGCAGATGTCTTGTAATTTTGTATGTTAAAAAGTAGAAGGACATTTTTTTATTGATAAATTGACCATGATATTATTCTAAAATTAAGGAGACAGAGTCGTAGGCATTTCATTTATAAGGAGATGAGAGTCTGTCGATGTAGATTCCTAAGGAGACAAAGTTTTTATTCAATTTATAAGGAGATTAAGGGCGATTAAGGCAATTGTAATACAAGAAGACTGGTGAAGTCGTAATACTTTATTTAGGAGATATTAGTCTATATCTAGTATCTAAGAGATTGTAATACGTCTAGGCTGGAAGCAGTGTAGAAGATGTTGCATCAACTGATAGTACAACATTTTTATGTAATCATAATTAAACCAAAATCAAAACTTACCGTCTGATACAACTCCAAAGACCCACAATCCCTAGACGACTTCTCGTCCAAAGTGAAGTCCATGGCGAACTGCAACCTGCCCATGCCGATCAACGGAAGGCTCCTGAACGCCAAAGTCAGCGTCAGGATCTCGGCCCAGGTACTCTGCAGCAATCGCATTTGATCGTTGAGCGTGAGGTCGGTGAAACCAGGAATCTGTTTGGCCCAGCCGATGATGCCGACCAGCTCGCGGTCATAGAGGTCGCTGAGTATGGACAACACTCGGTGCTTCGAGCTCTCCAACGCTTTGTTGCTTTCGAGCGGATCGGGTTCACAGCCTATTAGCGCTTCGAGCATTTTTATATCTGAAAGAAATAGTAGTTTCGTAAAATTAAGTTATCAGGTGATTAATGAGGATGGAATAATAATTAACGATTGAAGGTGTTGTGAGGTCAACTTGCAGACTTTAGATATACATAAAATTATATTGGACTTAATAGAAACAACTTCAATGGATGTCAAGGTGGTATATAACAATTTTTCAGATAATGTTCGAGATTCCTTTGATCAAATTTGCCACATTAACAAATTTAAATGCAACCAGACACCATGGATCAATAGACTTGTTATAGACACAAAAATTACGCAACAAGAAAGATTGTAATGATTATAAAAAATAAGAGGAAACTGGTAGTCAATGTATTAGGTAGAGAAAAGAAAATATTCTATGAAAACAAAATTGACAAATCCAAAGGAACCAGCAAAAATACGTCGCAAACAATTAAACAGTTACTTGAATGGAAGAAAGAGATATGCCAATAAATTCTAATCATTCTGGGCTACCTGAAGAAAACTTCAATAATTATTATAGTATAGTAATTATTACAATACATCCGATTATTACATTACACCTGATTATGACAATATACCCGATTTTGAGACTGCAGTTAGCTTTTAATTTTACCTTAGATTTTTATACAAATTTGTAATCTTACATGTAAAAAAATTTAATAAACTCTAATATTTAGTAATAGGCTCTGTAATTTAGCTGAGAGCATAGAAGATAAAGGCTTATTGCAAAATGAAAATGAACTTGAGGTACAAAAAGAACTATTAACAAAATTTCAAGAAGCAGCCTAAAGAATAAAAGTTCTGATAACGGTTTTAAGTTCAAAACTTCTTAAGGGCCCATTTTGTGTCGTTGGATCTCTTGCTAAATATTGTAAATATATTAATAACTAGTCAACGAATCCTTCAGATCTTAAAAGTTGTGTAATAGTGTCAATAGCTAAAGTTCCACCGCCAGCTCTGTCAGAACAATTCAGGCCAGTTAATTACTACCAACTGTAGATAAAATTATTGAAATTGTTTTAAGAGATTTTTCTTACCTTCTAAAAGAAGCATGGGCCTTTGTGCAGTCACTACTTGTACTTGGTATGGACTATCGGGATTCCTACGATACTTTTGCCTCCCGCCTCTAACCCTATCTAATCTGACGCCTTCTTTTAACATTCCCGATCTCAGGCATTTCCTAAACCTACAAGCCTGACAGGCTTTCCGCCTTCGTTTGTTTATTTCACATTCGCCGGAGGCCGGGCATGTGTATTCAATATTTCCTAAAATTAAAAAAAAAATATTTAAAAATATGTACCATTTGAAATGGAAGCACCCCTGTTGAACCCGTATTTGACAGACGATTGGAACATTTTTTTAGGATCATAGATGGTAAAAAAAATCTACTGTATAAAAGTTAAAATATCTAACTACACCACTGGATATGATGGCAAATAATTTTTTTAATTAAATCCAGTTCTTAGAATCAACAGAAATCAATTTTTTTAACAAAGTATCAAAATTATTTTATTTTTGAATATCAAAAAATTCATTAAATAAAAACTAACCGCAATACTAAAATGGAAAGGTAATCAAAGCAGGCCTTGAAAATGCCAAATTAATTATTGAAAATGTGTGATATGGTTCCAATCGTCTGTAAAATAGGGGTTCTACAGAGGCGCTTCCATTTTACACTATAGGTACGAATCCCAAGATATCCAACCAAATTATGAAAATGGCTCACCCTGAATAGTCCTTTTGAAAAATGCTTTGCAGGCCTCGCAGGAAGCTACTCCATAATGAAATCCTGAAGCAACGTCCCCGCAAACGAGACACAGTCTCCTAGGGGAGTCTTCTTCCTTAATATCACCCTAAAAATGTCATTGGATTAATACCGAGGGACAAAACACTCCTGAAATACTGGTACATTTTCACTCCGAAATGCAAACGCAGCAAGTGGTGGATTGAAAAACAAATGAAGAGAAAAAAATTTGTATGATGGCCACATTTTAAAATTATATTGAGGTATACAGGGTGTTGCGTAACTCAGGTACGAACCAAACATGTTTTTTAAAACCAGAACACGTGTTTTTTATTATTTTAGATTTTTATTATCCTCATCTTTTCCATTTTTCTCATATATGGTTTGTCTAGGTTATATAGGATACTCTAAAAGTAATTGACACTTATCTATGAAAATCGTAAGTAAATCAACGTCCTGTAGCCAATTACTTACTGTGGAAAAAGTTTTTTTATTATCATTTATTACACTTTTCTTTGGTAACGTCTTTATTCTATGCTTATTAGTTAGTATACAGGGTTACTCAAGATTCGGACTCTTGATTTTCATGTTTTATTTAAATGGGACATCCTATATTTTTAATTGTTAGTAGATTCCTCTGAAAGAAGACTTCCATTTTTATTAAGCATTTCCTATACCTACAGTTAATAATTATCGATAGTTTGTAACATTAAATGAACATTATGGTAATTTCGATAAATAAAACTATTTTGTTTTTTAAACAACTCTCTATAAACTAATACATAATATGTGTGAAATAAAAAAAAAAAACAAAATAATTAAACAATAGTAGTTTGTGCAGCAAGATATTCTACATACTCTCTACAAAATGTGGTGTACCTCAAGGATCAATTTTGGGTCCTACGCTATTTGCTATATATACGTCAAGTTTAGTAAAAAAAAATCAAAAATTGTAAAGCTTATTTTTATGCGGATGATACCCAAGTAGGTATATTATAGTTTTCATCCAAATGAAGTACACAATGCTTTTAACATTAACAATAATGATCTAAACTGTTTTATAATAGATGCAAGTGATGCTGCCTTCTTATTAATTCATCTAAATCAAATGTACTGATTTTTGGTCTTAAACTAAGAAGAGATATAGTTGCCGAAGATTTTAGTATTGTACTGAATGATCAAATTATAATAAGCGTAGAAGCTAAAAACTTGGTAATATTATATTGGAATCTAAGATTAGAAAAACAAAAAATTAAATTACTTCTTTGAAAGACACTTTGTTATCTATATTTAATTATTCAGCTTCAGTTTATGCTCCAAATTTAACAAACTACTATCAATTCAAAATTCGTAAGTTTAAAATTCATGTTTGAGATAATTTTAGGGAATAAGAAGGCGCCAAAGAATATCATATAAATTAAGAGAAGTAGGATGGCTTAATACAGAAAATGGAAGATTCTTACACTCTGCAAATTTTTATATTAAAATAATCACCACATATCTGCACAGAAAAATAATATTTCGAACAGATGTTCATAATATTAATATTAGGTATAAGGGAATACTTACTCCACCTCTGGTTCGTACAGAATATTTTAGAAGGGGTTTTAGTAATTAAATTTGCCTCGTCTATAATGTCATCCCGCAATAAAATTATTAGTTATAATTCCTTCAGAGTAAAAGTTAAAACATTTGTGCTGAACACTCGCCAGTAATATTTTTTCGAAATGGTTTGCTGCTTTTTTTTGTTTTCAGGAATTTATTTTTGATTTATTTACTCATTCTATTAATTTATATGTTTTTAATATTTTTATTCTAGTATCAAGGGTAAAGTGATAGAAAAACTCAGTGACTAAGTTTCAAGCTTAGCCGTCGAACAGAACTACGCCCTTTGTCCAGGTTATTTTTTTATTTTAATTTAATTTTTTTTAAAGCAAAAAAGACGTAAAATTATTATTATTTATTATATTATTATTATATAATATAGGGTCTCCCATTTAAATAAAACATGTAAATCAAGGGTGTTGAGTCACCCTGTATACTAATAAGGGTAGAATAAAAACGTTACTAAAGAAAAGTATAATACATGATATTAACAATGCAATTGGCTACAGGGCGTCGATTTACTTACGGTTTTCTAACAAAAATACCAATTTCTTTTAGAGTACCCTATATAACCATATATAAGAAGAATGGAAAGATGAGAGTAATCTAAATCTAATGTAATAAACTGGTGTTCTAGTTTAAAAAACACGTTTGGTTCGTATTTGAGTTATGCAACATCCTTTATTAGTTCTATGTAATTTTACAATGTTGCCATCAAGGATCCCTATAAATTTTGTTAATACATTTTTCTAATGTAACAAGACAAAACTTTTCCACAAAATTGGTATGTATGATTTCAGTGAAATTACCGAAATCGTATAAAAAAGATATTTCGACGAAATCACTAAAATAAAAAAAATAATCAACGAATTTTGGACCACTCTACTGATGCATTATTTGAAAGCGCTTGTAAATAAAATTTTAAAAACTGGTATACTGCAAAATAGGAAACGTTTTGGTGAACTGTAGCTCGCGATTGGGACGTTATTCAGAACAGTTTTGAAATTATTGAAAATGAATAAATTTCATCCATACAATGTGCAAATGATTCATGATCTAACAGAAGATATTGCGAAAACCTAACTACAATAGATTTTCTCATTGGAAGGGATATTGTCGTTGCAAGGTCATTGCAAGAGCTTTCTATCAATTTACATAGCAAGTAATATAAACAGGATGTTATTTCACCGGAACCTGCAAATTTTTCTTTTGTTTTATCTTTTTCCCTTGTCTTCTTCTATTGCGCTTCTTGGTCGGCCAGGTAGACTTCAGATAGTGCTATTAAAAAACTGAGCCCATACAGCTAAAGAAGAAGAAGACAAGAAAAAAGAAGAAAATTATGCAGCGTTGCAACCTTAGACTATGGAGTGTAGAGGAAAGGAGGGCAATCTCATACGGTTGTTTATCTCAAAAAGTGTCCCCAAAATGTATAAAATTAAGATGGCGCTCGTGTACTAGATAAGAAAGATCCAATGATATATAGTTTAATAGGTAGCTCACCCATATGTAAATAAGACGACAAAAAGCACTATTGTCTTTTATTATCAAAATTTCTCTACGATTATAAGCTCAGTCGCTTTTCACGATAGCTTTTCATGATGTAGTTTTTATACATTTTGAGGGTCACTTTTTGTATACAGAAATAGTTCTCCTTACCTCCACACTCCATGCCTTAGACATATTGCCGAAATGATAATTTACAGTTTCCTTTGAAATAAAATCCTGCTTCTATTACTTGCTATGTAAACTGATAGATAACGCAAGTGGCCTTGCAACGGAAATATGTCTTCCGATGAAATCATCTATTCTTGGACAAAATCCTAATTATTTATAACATTTTTGCTTTAGTGATGATGCTACATTTCATTTGAATGGTCACATTCATCGGCAAAATGTCAGGTACTGGTCTGATGAAAATCCCAGGTTACTTCGTGAAGGCCATACACAATTTCTCGAAAAGCTAAATGTACATGGGCAGGTATACCGATTAATTTTCTTGTAGGCCCAATATTCATTGGCGAAAATTTAAACGGCGAAATATCTCAATATTGCAACGATTATTTAAATTAAAAATAGTTTATTTATTTAAAACTGTTTATTTATAACGTTTAAATTAAATTATTTAATACTTAGACACTATTATAACTCACAATTCTAATTTAGTTATTACAATTTATCTTCTCTATACATCACTTAAATTGAAACTTAACTTATATCGACAAACTCGCGCTATTTATACAAAGCCAGCTCTGCACCAGTACATTCTCGACCGTCTAGAAAATCTCAAGCGTTCGTGAAATGTTTTCTCTACGCGTCAGCTGTATACCTAGATAATTCCGGAAATGTTTCGATCATGAGTCAGGTGCAAGACACAACGTCGCGCTAAATATCGAAGAACAGAGTCGGCTCAGGCGTTTACACAACAATATCTTTTGGAGACAGACATAATTACGAATCATCCAGAAAATATATTGTAAGTCCGGGAGAGATAGGCCTGTTCATTATCCTAGTAGATTTTGTTCTAACAAACGGAAGGGACAATTATAACAAATATTCATGATTCTCCCAAAATTTCTGACCATTCTGTAATTTCAATTAAAAGAAACAAATAAAAGTATTAAAAAATGTATAAACTTTAAATATAATAATTTAATGACTATTAAAATATATTTAATTACATTTAACTGGAATCTTAATTCCATAAATACTAATGAAATTTACCGAGAGCTCTATCAAAACTATAAAGTAGTAAACAAAAATGTTGCACCAATTCAAATTTTGTATTCAGTATCATCAGATACCATGGTATGATGAGATATTGGGATAAAATTAAAATTCGATATAGGACCTACAAAGCCTTTAACGGCCATATGCACCATTCTTCTGTTAATAGTTATCAGAGTTAACTACATAACTGACTGTTAAATTGACAATTTTGTATTCACCATTACAACATACGACTAACAATCTGTTAAAGGCGTTGTTAATTAACAAACCAAATTTGGCCTGTTAATTTTACTTATCAGACTATTTTAATTTTACTTGTTTATTTTGAAGGGCTATATAAGGTTTTATAGGATATTGACAGTAATATATACGTAACAGACTGATTTCTTACTGAAACTAGTAAATAGATGGTGCATAGCAAATTCTGTTAACACACTGTTATTTTTTATACTACTGTTAGATAACAGAGGACTTAGTTGGACAATGGTGCATATGGCCGTAAGTGATTTGCAAAAAAAAACAAGTGGGAGAGCTTTAAGAAATACAGAAATACTTTAAAATAAAATTATTCATTATAGAAACAATCCTTAAGAAATGAGGGAGACCATAAAAAAGTTGATTAACTATAAGTGAATTGCCGAAACAATCATATACGGTTTGAAAATAATACAGGTACCTACCATAGTTCTTAAGGATGATAAATAAATAGCTAAATGTTTTAATAAATCTTTCACTGAAAGTATTTCAATCAGCGTAAAAACGGACTAACTTACATTG